AGCCCAGGATTAGTAGGTCAGTCTGTCAGTCAATCATTCACTTCAATAACACTATTGAACGCTGGTCAAGGGCTGGGTGCTCCAATTCTGGGCATTCACACACAGGGACCCATTCACATGCATTCCTACCCAAACCCTCCCTTGCTACAGGCATCACTGCTGGGATTTCCAAAATTCAGAGAGGTTGAATCACTTGCTCATGCCCCAAGGGGAATGTGGACAAGAACACAGTTCTAGAGGCACTTCTACTTCAACATAGCCTTCTTCCAGATGTATGTAGATGAATTAGGTCATTTATTTGGTAATACTATGACTCTAGGAAGAATTCCTTAATCTCCATAGGTTAAGTCCTGAATTCAACTCAGGACAAAGCCCAGAATAAATCATGTAATTTTATAGTCCTATCGCATGTATCCACTTTTGAGGCCAGGAGGCATTTTCCTACTACTGTTCATAGAGCAACTGTCTTCCATTTTGTTTTGTCCATCTTTTGTTCTGATCTAGCTGTGCAAGCAGCAGCTTGGCCATCTAGAAAGGATTTCAATCTCATCCTTTAAGTGTCACTGGGTGCATCATAGATCACTGATGTTAAATCAGATTGATCCTACATCAGTCTGATGAATCAAACAATTTACCATGTCCCACAGGGGAACATCATGAAGACTTAAAGAGGAATAAAAGGAGCTCACATAGAAGAACAAAGAAATCAGTCTTGGAAGACGTATAGTCAGAATGCTCCTTAGAAGGAAAAATGGCCAAACTTTTTCTCACATACTTTGATCACGCTGTCAGAAGGGAATAGTCCCTGCAAAGAGATATCATGCTTTGTAAAGTAGAGGGTCAGCGAAAGAGGGGAAGACCCTCAATAAGATGGGTTAACACAGGGCTGCAATGATGAGCTCAAGCATAGCATGGATTATAAGGATAGCACAAGACCAGACAGTGTTTTGTTCTGTTGCACTGTGATCCAGAGCTGACTTGACGGTACATAATGACAACAACAAAACACATCCTTAAAATTAATGGCAGCCACCAAAATATTAATAGCTTGCATTTAATAAAATGACAAATCCATCTACCCTCTTCAAGCTATCCATATTTCCCTAAGGAAAATACCTGTGGCTTTCATTAAAAGCCATTGCCATTGGGTCAATTCTGACTCACAGCAATCCTACAGAGTAGAGTAGAACTTCCCCATAGGATTCCCAAGGCTGTGATTTTTCACAGAAGCAGATAGCTATATCTTTCTCTTGCTAAGTAGTGGTGGACAAACTGCCAACCTTCTGCTTAGCAGCCAAGCTATTAACCAATGGGCCACCAGGTCCTTCATTACACAGGGCTAAATACATGAACAAAAGTAAGAGTCTCTTGTCTGTATCAGTGAATTAAAAGAAGTATGTACTGTATGTTCTCTTAGGCTTATTAATTAATAATTTCTCAAGTATTTTTCAAGTACTTCTTATGCACAAAGCACTAGGGATACAACAATGAAGAAAAAACAGTCTTTACCTTCATAATACTTATAACATAGGAAGCATATAATTGGGAAATATTTACAAAAACATACACAATAATAAACAGTGATGATTAGGATAAAGAAAAATTACAGTTTGATTTGAGGATAAATCAAAAGAACCCTGACAACTGAACATCTACTTTGTGAAAAGTGATGTATCAGTACTACTGTGAGTCCTCCTCTGGCTTCTGCATCTTCCAATGTCTTGCAATAAAAGCACTTTAATGTTTCAGTCTTTTCTTACATCATCTTGTTATAACTTCAGATAAATGCAGAAATTGAGATGCACATGAGCACAGATAAAGTGCTATGGAAGAGTCAGGATATGTAAATAAGGAACAAGAAGCAGTTTGATTTGGTTGGAACTTCAACAAAGTCAAGTCTGATAATATAGTTAAGGCTGTATAGAGGGTCTTAGTCACCAGGCCAAAGTGTACAG